GGTTGGTTGGTTGGTTGGTTGGTTGGTTGGTTGGTTGGTTGGTTGGTTTCCTGATTGGTTTCCTGCCAGATGATGGAAGGTGGAGGGGGGAAGCTGATCACTTTCCTTAACTTGTCCTGCCTTAAAACAGTAGGACAGCCCCAGTTGCCAGCCTTTTTACTGTGACAAAATAAGGCTTGGTAATTGGGCTAGGATATTTTATGCAGGTCTCCTTTTCAGCTTTTCAAGGACTGGTGAACAGTACTCAATATAACCTGTTTGGGTATTAGTTAACTCAGCTCAATCATTTGTGAATCTGTAGCTGTAGACTTATAAGGAGAAAATGGATAGGAAGTCTCAAAGCATAAGAAATAGGTGCAAAAGATTGCCTTGCTCTGGAGATATAAACCAGAGAGATTCCTCTTGGATAAGATGTTAATTTGGGGGGCTGGGATTTTGAGTTGAAACCATCCCAACTACTTTAAACTGGTTTAGAGTGTTTGTGTGGCTGACATTTAGAAAGGAAACTGTAAGTGAAATCAGCATGCTAAATTATTAGCTTTACATGTTGCATAATCAACGAAACTTTTTTTCCCCCTTAACACTTAAAGTAATTGAACAGAAATATTTAACTAGAGAAAACAAGTCTAGTAAGGTGCACTTAATGTAGTTTGTGGAAGAACCTTAGACTGATCTACTCTGATGTACTTGGTGCTGAGTTAGTCCAAGGTGAACATGGATGGGATTGAAGACTTAGCTTGCAACCTTAGATATACTTATCTTAGGGTAAATTTCTCTGAACTCAGTGAGACTTATTTTGGAGTAGACAGCCATAGAAAATGATACCATGTGGTACAGTCCTATAGGGCTTCAGCCGGCCACAGCCTCTTTAAGAATGCTTCATTCCATCCCCACCTAATCATGTAGCCAAAATAGCAGCATCTATGCACCAGTGGAAGATATATCAGGACACTTGGATCAAGCCCACATTTTGCAAAACTGCAGAAAAACAAGTGGGGTGACCTAGTAAAAACTGGACATGGTTTATGAATGTGGAATCTGGGCTTACAGTTGAGGAAAAGTGATATGTGGGTTCTACTAGTAATTCTACTAATGACATTGTACAAGGAGATCAGCTTAGGTGTTTTATATGCTAGCACAGGAAGCCTCTCTTTCTCATATATTTATAGTTGCAGAACAATGGAAAAGGAAATGGGGACCATAGTTGTATTTCCTGGCACTATAGCTACATGATAAGGTCAGGACTTCATGCACAAAACATACCTAGATATATTTCAGAATCAAGGAAAGGGTTGTTTTTTTTTCTAATCCAGTCAACCAAATTTTAACCTGCTGCAGAACAGTACACATTTTTCAGTTGTGCAGTGATCATGTGGTCTTGCGTTAGGGGCACATATTTCATATTCCTTTTTAATTTAAAAGCTTTTTTCAATCTTGTTGTAAGTGTAACTTGCACAAGAAAAGCCCTTCATTTTGTTTCCCATCTGTTAAATTGTTTGTGATATCACTGCTATCCAGCATCGCTGTTTTTTAATGCTGCTATTCTTGTTTTATTATGAAATAGCATTCAGTCTAAGCTACTCATGACAAGTACCAATGGCATCAGTGAGAGAATTACAGGTGGTTACAGAGTAAACATAAATTCCATGAATTGAATAGAATTTACTCAGAATGCTATCCATGACTTCTAGAAACATCTTTCTTAGTAAGGCAACACATAAGTACAGTAAATGCATACATTTAATATATTACAGGAGGTTTCTTCAGGTGTTTATTTGAATACCTAACAGCTTGGAGGTGGGCAGAAGACAAGACACAGACACTGATGTGCCCTATTCTCTCTGACCTGTGGGAAGTAGAAGCTCTCTCTCTCTCTTTGCACAAGTGTCCCTAAGAGTGGGATCCAACCTGGGTAAGGATCAGTAAAGTAGGTTTTATCTGTATAACAGAAAGGACATTTATTCACAGGAAATACATTACGATATAGGGATAGGCAAAGCTAGCACCTACAATCTATCAGGAGGATCATCCAAGAGCCTGTATACTGTCCCTGTGTGCCTGGGAAGAAAAGGTGGAAGGAAGTGACTTCAGATTATCGGTCTCATAGGCAAAGAGCAGGCAGAGTGATAGGTAAAGGCAGGACCCGTTGTGAATCCTCTAGCTCCAGGTTGCTGCTCTCTTGTAGTCAGTAGGTTATGAGGTGCTGAAGAGTCAGTGCTATTGACTCTATAATGCATATCTGGACTTTGAAATATGTATCCAGGCAAAGGTTTTCGAGCAATCCAAAAGCGCAGTAAAGCAACAGTCCAGGATATGGACTGCAGCATTCTCATTCAAGTAAATGCAAGTGTTACCCTGCTTCCGATCATCAAGCGGAATGAATAAAGTTCTGCTCACATTCTGATACATGCAGTGTATTGTTTTATTAAAGTCTGAGTATGCTCTGTTTTGGGGTTCTTTGGTGCAAGATCTCCATGTTTTAGAGTGCCAGATTTGAAACACTGACCAGTCCACTTCTGGTTTAAAAATAGTCATCAAAAAGAAGAGTCAAGAGCCTTGACATTGCTCCTGAGCACCTGAAAACCAAGACAGCAGATTTACAGCAAAATGTCACATAATAGCCAGAATGTACTATAAACCTAATACAAAATGACAATATCCATTGATTCATTTTACAATTGCTTGCTTGAAAATGTAATTATCAATGTGATTAACTGAGAATTGAAGAGCTTTTTATCAACAAAATGAGTCCAAGACAATAAATCCTTCCAGAAGCCAGGTAAACTAGAGGAGATTAATTCAGAAAAATAAGTAGGAGAGTGCTGCACTTGCAACTGAGAAGCTGCATGACTCATTGAAGGCCAAAAGGAAAAAGAACTTTATTTCATTTGATTTCTCATTTAAAATTAATTAAAATTAAATACCCTTAATATGCTTACTCTCAGGCAGGGTGTACACAGGAGGGATTAAAAAAAAAAGTCAAAATGGCAGTTGCAACTGTAAACTTGACTTTTTTGACAGGTCTTAGTATATTTCCTGCTATAATGTTAACAGTTCTGATTTGTTAATTACTTATATTGACCACCAGGGAGCAGTACCTGACTGGTTTCATCCTATTTGAGATTCACAGTTCATACTAGCCACCATCTGAGTTTGAACCTCATAGAAGGACCTGTACCTATGTACGCCTGATGAGTTCCAAGTAGGTCGAAACCACTTGCATATTGCCTCTTGATGGTCAATATAATTTAAAAAACCCCAAAACTCACAGGGTATATACTGTGTAAAAACAGAGAAATGTCTGTCACCCTCCAGGGACGTAAGGAGAGAGTGGAAAAGACGTTATGCAAAACCTCATACATGAGGGCAAGACGTAATATAACAACTATTTCTCCCTGATATGAGACCTTTAAAAAAGAAAGGAGGACTATATACTGTACTAATATACCATTCTGAAGACAGAATTTGTTAATTACTTGTGGTGGTCCAAAGTCCATGCAAAAGGCTTTTGAGGGCTGTTGGTGACCCAAGCCTCATATTGTACATCTTGTTTGAAGTACAGCATAATCTTCACTGTGTTAGTAGTGTTCTGGTCACCTCTTATTTTAGTTATTTTAGAGATGTCATTGGGGAAAAATCTACTTGGCAGTTCATCCTTACCAGCAGTTGGAGAAATGGGTGTCTAATGGTAGCTAACTAAATCTTTCTTCATTGTTTCCCACAGCAAGAAGCTAAAATGGAAAGCTCTACCAACATACACACAGATAGTAGTGTTCAAACATCTATATTAATTTAATAAGGCTCAGTAAATCTAAAGGGGTTCAAGAATGAGATTGATTCACTTTATAAAGTTCCTTGCTTTTTCTGTTGACAACTGCACTTCATTAATCTCTCTCACTGAACTCATAGTAGGAT